TTGTCTCTGTTGTCCAAAGACAACGACTTCTGGAGACAGAAATGGAGTCTCTTATTAATTGGTGTGACTCTAAGAATAAAGACAAGCGATCGCCAAATAAACCGGTATTTGATTTACTCGAAGACAAGTGATTATTGACTACACTTATAGTGTCTGTTATTATGTATGCATTTGTAACCAAATGTCAGAAATAATGCAAACAAAATGTTTAGTAATGTTTTCGGTCTTCCCGTCGGTTACCAGAGAGTGAGCGGACGAACAGTCAGACTGTCATAAAAGTTATCATTATTTACACAATTGTTGATTCATTTATAGGGAAACGAATTGTCAGTATTTGTTGACAATTGGAAACAACGAGCGATGCTTTGCTGCAAATGTTATCATTGATTAGATTTATAGTAATTGAATGACTGATCAAATGTTGATCACATTTGAATCAATGGATTTAATATGATGTCAACAAATGTCCAAAACAAACAACATTTACTGTGAAAGTGAATGCAAAACAAGCGAATTATTACTAAACTTTTGATTGAATTGTTTACAAACAAATAGTTTAAATGTTTCACTGAGGAGTCATTCAATTCTTCAAACATTCCTCTATTTGTGTATTCAATTACATGAATAATATGTACACATATTTGCACACTATTTATCTGTGCATTACTTATATTCTGTATTTTAAATGTTTTGAATATAATTGATATAATTATTATATTACAGACTGAAGTGTTAGGCAAACGAAGTAAACATTCAGATGAAAAGCCATCTAAAAAATTCAAAGATAATCACCCGAACAGCTCTAATAGCGGCAAATCGCGGCCACAAAAGGCCAAAAACATACCCGTAATATACACTCATTTAATTAACATTGAGTTATGATATAATGAACAAAATATATCCGTTGTTTAGAGTATTAAAAATACGGAAACCAATTATTCAGAGCCTCAACAGAAGGCGGTCTCCAAAGCGAATGCAATTCAAATCAAGAACGATATTCCCAACCAATTCTGGCATTTCATTGAACCCTATTCTTGTGAAATCACTTCAGAACACATCAAAGTATTACATATTCCATGCTTTCCATTAGAAACTTATTTCTCATTTGATTTTCTCTTGAATTGAAAGTTTTTGAACGAAGAATTAAAATCATATGAAACGGATTGTGAGTTCTATAAGATCCCAAATCTTGGTAAACATTAT